AACATTTCATTGGGCCAATGCAGAAATTCATTATATTGATGCAGAAATTTCTCTCAGTGTACCAACGTACACAGGATTTATTTTCGGGGTAAGAACCGCTAGTTCAATAAGAAATGTTAAATGCAAAAATACATGAAAATACCAAATTACTGGGAATTCGGTTGAAAAATGCGCTCAAAATACCGAACATTGGGGTTATCGTTGTATGGGGGCTACCAAAAAAAATGGACCGATATTTATAATTTTTAGTAGAGAGATTTAGGAACCAATAAGAACTCATTGTACCTAATTGCAGCGAATTCGGCTGAAAACCGAGCTCATGAACCCCAAAATACCGAAAGGTGGGGGGTAAGGGGTACCCTTATATGGAGGCTACCGGAAAAATGGGCATATTTTTATTAGAGATTTGCTACAAGAAACCCCATGTAACTAATTTCGGCGGAATCGGTTGAAAAGCGCCAAAACCCCAACAGTTAAGAGTACCCTTATATGGGGGGCTACCGGAAAAAATGGACCTATATTTATAATTTTTAGTGGAGAGATTTGCTACGCAATAAGAACTCAATGTACTAAATCACAGCTAATTCGGTTGAAAAATGTGGTAAAAACCCTCACAAAAACAGAAAACGGTTGAAAAACGCGTTTAAGAACCCCAAAATTCCGAAATTTTGTACGCAATAAAAAATCAATGTACCAAATTTCAACAAACTCGGTCGAACAATTCAATAATAACCCTCAAAATTCTGAATATATATAATGGGAGGTCCCATTATATGGGGGCTACCGGAAAAAATGGACCTATATTAATAATTTTTTGTGGGAATATTTGATATCCAATAAGAACCAAATGTACCAAATTTCAGTGAATTTGGTTGAAAAACGAGCTCAAGAACCCCAAAATACCGAAAATACCTCCCGTATATGGGCGGTATGCCTAAACGTGGAACGATATAGCCCATCTTCGAACTTGATCTGCATCCAGACAAAAGACAACTATATGCAACATTGTGGCGATCTATCACAATTCGTTTGGACATTAGAGTGATTGCAACAGGCAGACGGACCCTGATCAAGAATATATACTTTATAGGGTCGGAAATGGTTAATTCGATGAGTCACAAGCGGAAAAACAAAACCAGTAAGGAAAGTAGTAAAGTCGGACGGGGCCGACTATATGATACCCTTCACCACTTTGGGTATATTCAACAGATGAATTCTAACAGATCTCCGTCAGTAAAAAAGGACCAGTAAAATGAAATTGGATCCATAAACATGTCATTCTGCAACCCATACTAAATTTTTCATTTGGTCAGATAAAGAGTTGCTATAGATATAGTATATATATATATAACATACATCATTCTAGACCTAATTCATTACGCTGTGCCAAATTTCGTGCAAATTGAAAGATATATATAGGGTATTTGGTGGACCATTTACATTAAATCGGACGAAAATATATATGGGAGGTATATCTAAATCTGGACCGATTTTCAGGAAACTTAACACACATCATTCTCGACCTAATTCATTATGGTATGCCGAATTTCGTGCAAATCGAAAGATATATAGGGACTTTGGTGCACCATTTACCTTAAATCGGACGAAACTATATATGGGAGCTATATCTAAATCTGAACCGATTTTCTCGAAAATTGGCACACATTATTCGGGAACTAATTCAGTACGCTATGCCAAATTTCGTGCAAATCGTAACATATATAGGGACTTTGGTGCCCCATTTACCTAAAATCGGACGAAAATATATATGGGAGCTATATCTAAATCTGGACCGATTTTCAGGAAACTTAACACACATCTTTCTAGACCTAATTCAGTACGCTGTGCAAAATTTCGTGCAAATTGAAAGATGTATAGGGACTTTGGTGCACCAATTACCTTAAATCGGACGAAACTATATATGGGAGCTATATCTAAATCTGAACCGATTTTTCCCAATTTCAATAGGGTTCGTCCCTGGGCTAAATAAGTGAGCTGTGCCAAATTTCATCCAAATTGGATAATAAATGCGACCTGTACTTTGTTTACAATATAACATGGACAGACGGACGGACGGACGGACATGCATAAATCGACTTAAAAAGTGATTCTATGCATATTCTCAAAAGGAACCATGTGTCTATCTCGTTTCCTATTGCCTGTTACAAACATATGCACAAAGACATAATACCCTGTACCACAGTGTGGTGAAGGGTATAATTAATGTATCTTCCATACTATGGTGTTCAAGCCGAATATTCGGTCGGTTTAAGTGATTGTGTATTTGCTTGATATAATGTAGCATACTTTAGGGATGATTATTAAGTGGGTGAAAATAGTAGAGTTACCATAATACTTTAGGGCTGATTATTAAGTGGGTGAAAATAGTAGAGTTATCATAATGAAGATGGAATTATTCCAAAATCACGAGGTAAAGTGTCTATCAAATTTTGTCACTCTATTTGCAAAATCCCGAAATATTTGTCGGAGTATTAAAATTCTTGATAGAAATAAAATTCAAAGTCGATTTAAATATGTCCGCCTGTCTGTGTGTTGATATCATTGAAATACATTGATTTTTATACCCTTCACCACACTGTGGTACAGGGTATTATGTCTTTGTGCATATGTTTGTAAAAGGCAAAATGAAACGAAATAGATACATGTTTCCGTTTGTCGGACGGACGTCTGTCCGTCTGTAGATGTTAAATTGTAAACAAAGTACAGGTCGCCTTTATGATCCTATTTGCATGAAATTAGACACAAGTCACTTATTTGGCCCAAGAACGAACCCTATTGAAATTAAAGAAAATCGCTTCAGATTTAGATATAGCTCCCATATATAGTTTTTTCCGATTTTATGTAAATGGTGCACCAAAGTCCTTATATATTTTTCGATTTGCACGAAATTTGCCACAGTGTACTGAATTTACTCTACAATGACGTGTGTCAAGTTTCGAGAAAATCGGGTCAGATTTAGATATAGCTCCCATATATATTTTCGTCCGATTTAAGGTAAACGGGGTACCAAAGGCCCTATATAGCTCTCGATTTGCACGATATTTGACATAGACTACTGAATTAGGTCCAGAATGACGTGTGTTAAGTTTCGTGAAAATCGGCTTCGATTTAGATATAGCTCCCATATATAGCTTTGTCCGATTTTAGGTAAACGATGCAGATTTAGATATAGCTCCCATATATATTTTCGTCCGATTTAAGGTAAATGTGGCTCCAAAGTCCCTATATACCTTTCGATTTGCACGAAATTTGGCAATAGTGTACTGAATTAGGTGCAGAAAGATTCGTTCAGATTTACAAATACCTTCTATATACACTTTCGAAAATAGAAAATAAAATAGAAAAAAGTCCGTACTACCCGAAAATCGGCTTCCAAAGCTGCCCTTCGAAATATTTATTGTCAGGATCTTGGGAACAACTTCACTTGGAACCTATCCATCTAAATAAAAAATTGAGGTGGTTGGCCGGATCTTGACAAACAGCTTCACCATCGACAGATTCTAATGCAAGATATGCAACCGAATGTCGTATACAATCAAAATTATTTCTACATATTGCTTTCTAAACCTGAAGAAATAGAAGTGAGTGACAAAAATTCGCTGCAATTTAAGATTTTCGCCTACGCAACAAATCTCTCTTATCTAAATTCTTGTCAAAATAAAATTCCCACAAATTCCCAAATTCATGATATAGCCCATGAATAAAATATATATCCTGTTGTAAGTGTTTGAAATGATCCGCGATATGCCTTTAAATTTTGTTCTTTGGGAAGCTAAGAAACGATCACTTCCCATTAATAAAATCTTTGTTCGAAAAACCATTCATCTTCGCATTTGTTTATAAAGTTTTAATATTTGAAAACAATACTTCAAAAATGTGTTTGGCAATTAGATTCACAAACAATAAAGAAAAAACTTAGAAATCATATGATTGTCACTTACACCTTATTTAATACACCTTGGATTGATATTACATTTTATATCAAATATCGGGTATAAAGTTGCTTTAAATCTATTTACAAAATTTAGAATAGGTTGCAGAATGGCATGTGTTGGGATTGATGTTAGTCGGTTAACTTAAAATAAAGATAGCATATTTAAGTCCGTTCAATTTCATGTCAATGGTCCTTCGAAAAGGCGACGTCTGTTTGGTGACATATGTAGAATATACCCAAAGTGGTGAAGGGTATCATATAGTCCCAGCCCAGTCCGACTTTACTACTTTCCTTACTGGTTTCTTATAGGAAGTTTATGATTGCAATTATTCGGTATTATGGGAATTTAGGGCATCTATATCAAGGCTTCAACGCGTAGTCTTCTAAATGTGGATACATATTTGTTTAATAATTTCCGAACCACTATCAAATTTCGATGAGGTTATTTTTTTAATTATTTATTTTTATTTTTATTTTTTTTTAACATTATATTCCCTACCATTATTAGATCTCAATATGTTGTAATTTTAACACAATTGTTCCATTTTAAAATAATTCAACAATTTTTTCTTTTTTTTAAATTGTTTTCAAAAATTATTTTTTCTCTCCCTTCAATAAAAAAAAAACATTTTATTTTAATTGATTTGTTTTTAATAATTTGTATTTTATTGTTTTTCAATTATACAAAAAATATATGAATATGTATGTAAGTTTAATTTCATGAATATCAAAATATGCATATGTATGTACGATGAATGTGTGAATCTATGTAAACAACAAAACTGATAACAAAACAACTGAAATGGAATACAAAATGGCGAAAAAAGAAAATAAATGCAAATTAACTGATGCAATCAATGTCTATTTTGTTTTGCAGGTCATCAATGTCTGTTTACGGACCCCCAACGATGTTCTGTTGGGGGTCAGTTGTTACTACTGGAGATAATCATTCGACACCGCCCAGAACACCACTCACCCAGACTGCCCTTTCATCCAACCATCCATTCGAAACAAATAAACAAGTACGTAATGATGATGTCCACGATTACTGATAATTAGCCAATACTTCACGATTGATAACACCCGGATAGCTGGTATAGACTTGAGATTTGCCAGTCAATGCAATAAATTGCTCGGCAACTTCGACAGCCACACGAACCTGAGCCTCAGCTGTACTGGCGCCCAAATGTGGCGTAGCCACTACTTTGGGGTGTTGTATCAATTTCTTGGTTACTTCAGATTTAGGTGGTTCTTCGGGGTAAACATCGAAGGCGGCACCACCACACTGGCCCGACTCCAAGGCATCGAGTACAGCTTGTTCATCAACGATGCCGCCACGGGCAACATTGACTACTTTAACGCCCTTTTTGCATTTAGCCAAGGATTCGGCAGAGACGAGATCTGTAATGGAAAGAGAGAGAGAGGAAATGGGAGATAAATTAGAAATGAAATTTACAAAAATATTTAAAAATATATATTTTTCAGAAGACCAATAGGCGTGGATTTTTTAAAAGGAATATTTTTCAGAAGACCCATAGGCGTGGATTTGTTAAAGAAATATCTTTCAAAGAAAATATTTTTCGGAAGACCCATTGCCGTGGATTTTTTGAAGAAACATTGTTCACAGAAAATTTTTTTCGGAAGACCCATAGGCGTGGATTTTTTAAAGAAATATATTTCAAAGAAAATATTTTTCGGAAGATCCATAGGCGTGGATTTTTTAAAGAAATATATTTCAAAGAAAATATTTTTCAGAAGACCCATAGGCGTGGATTTTTTAAAGAAAATATTTTTCGGAAGACCCATAGGCGTGGATTTTTTAAAGAAATATTTTTCAGAAGACCCATAGGCGTGGATTTTTTAAAGAAAATATTTTTCGGAAGACCCATAGGCGTGGATTTTTTAAAGAAATATTTTTCAAAGAAAATATTTTTCGGAAGACCCATAGGCGTGGATTTTTTAAAGAAATATTTTTCAAAGAAAATATTTTTCGGAAGACCCATAGGCGTGGATTTTTTAAAGAAATATATTTCAAAGAAAATATTTTTCGGAAGACCCATAGGCGTGGATTTTTTAAAGAAATATATTTCAAAGAAAATATTTTTCGGAAGACCCATAGGCGTGGATTTTTTAAAGAAATATATTTCAAAGAAAATATTTTTCGGAAGACCCATAGGCGTGGATTTTTTAAAGAAATATATTTCAAAGAAAATATTTTTCGGAAGACCCATAGGCGTGGATAAATAAATTTTTCAAAGAAAATATTTTTCGGAAGACCCATAGGCGTGGATTTTTCAAAGAAAATATTTTTCGGAAGACCCATAGGCGTGGATTTTTTAAAGAAATATTTTTCAAAGAAAATATTTTTCGGAAGACCCATAGGCGTGGATTTTTTAAAGAAATATTTTTCAAAGAAAATATTTTTCGGAAGACCCATAGGGTTGGCGTTTTCAAGAAAAATATTTAACGGAAGAATATTTTGATAAAAATGTTTATAAAGAGAAAATATTTGGAAAAATGCTTATAAAGAAAAAATATTTGAAAAAAATGTTAAATTTTACAGGAAAAAATATTTTTTTAATAAATTTTTTAAACTCTTAGGAGTAATTTTTTGTTTTGTTGTATACTCACTTCTTGTGGCCGGTATCAATGGTGTGTGCACTGTAATATAATCTGCCAATGGCCATATTTCATCCAATGTCATTTTTTCAATACCCGCTGCCTTGGCCTCTTCCTCGGTGGTAATGGGATCATAGCCAATAATCTAAGTGACAAAATGAAACAAAAAACACAAAAATTTAGGTCACAAATAAATAGCAAACAATTACCAGACATTATGACAAACATTATTACTATTTAACTTACCCTCATGCCCCATGCCTTCATGCGTACGGCCACCTCACGTCCAATACGTCCCAGTCCCAACACGGCCAATGTTTTGCCATACAATTCACTGCCACTATACAATTTTCTATCCCAACGGCCTTCTTTCATACTTTGGACAGCCGGTACAACTGGACGTGCTAATGTTCCAATGGCAATGCAGGTCAGCTCACAGGCAGAAATTGAATTGCCACCAGGAGTGCTATTTTGAAGCATAAAACAAAAACAAGTTTTGGGGTTAGAATGAAATTGTTTCCAAAAAAACATCAAAAAAGTGGCAAACATCATTAAAGGCTTTTGGTGGTATTAAATTGTTGCAAAAGTAAAATTTTAATTCAAAAAAGATTTATTTTTCTTTTGGTATTTTGCAAAATGTATTCATTATTTTGACTAGACACACAAAAAATTATGCAAATAAGTCTCAGTCTCTGAGCAATAAGTTTACACATATCTTATGTTAATTACTCAACTTGGAGCTGAAGCTTTTAGCCAGCTGTCTATTTACTTTTACACTTGCCAGGAGAGTGTTTGAAAACAAAATTTTAATTTTCCTTCCCTCTTTCCTATGGCAAATAGACGTAGGTGAAAACACGTATGTCAAAGGTTAACAACTGCTCGATGCGGGGTAATATTTGAAATGTCATCAAATTAAGAGGAATTATTTAATAAGTTAGGATGTTTACTTTTGCGGTATTTGCAAAATTACCCCCCATAATTCGGTTTTGAGGACATTATATTGGAATTGATTGTAATTTTATATATTGGGTTTTAATTGGGCAACCAATCTGCTGCCAAATGTTCGTATAAGGGTACCTCCCAAATGTCGGTATTCTTGACAGTTTGAGCATGATTTTAATAAAAAATTTTATATTTTGGATTATCGTCGGGTAGAAAATCTCACAAACATTAACGGTCAATATTCGGCCAACTTTTAAGGTATATCCGATACGAACGATCCGAACGGAACCCCTCATTATTCCATAATTTTGGTGAACATTTTTAGAAGGATTATCAGATCCATATGTGTGGATATTGTACGAATATTATTTTGAAGGACTATTAGCATCAAAAGTGGCACTCATTATTCGCGTGGAACCAAAGGCGTCGAAGTAAATAGTTTTTTTGAGGGACAATACTATAAACTTGGATCTTTAAGAAAAAAAAAACAATTAAGAACTATAAGATAAATAATTATTTAAAGGCCTCTTAAGCCAAAGCGTCGATTTTTTTAAGGAACAGAGTAATAAGAGTGGATTTAAAAAAAAATTGAAGAAATCGGACAAATTTATATATGGGAGCTATATCTAAATCTGAGCCGATTTTCACAAAGCTTCGCAGACATCAATCTGGACTTAATTCAGTACTCTGTGCAACATTTTGTCTCAATCGGACAAATATTGGGAGTTTGGTGCATCATTCACATAAAATCGGACGAAACTATATATGGGAGCTATATGTAAATCTGAACCGATTCCAACAAAACTTCGAATACATAAGTATAGACCTGATTCAGTGCGCTGTGCAAAATTGTGTCCCAATCGGACAAAGATTGGGAGTTTGGTGCATCATTCACATGAAATCGGACGAAACAATATATATGGTAGCTATATCTAAATCTGAACCGATTCCAACAAAACTTCGCAAACATCTATCTGGTCGTAATTCAGTACTCTGTGCAAAATGTTGTCTCAATCATATGTAGTTTCGTTCAATTTAATGTAAATGAAGCACCAAACTCCCAATATTTGTCTAGAATGATATGTGTTTCCTGTTTCCTGAGCATCGGTCCAGATCTAGATATAACTCCCATATATATTTTCGTCCGATTTAATGTAAATAGTGTACCAAAGTAGCTATATATCTTTCGATTTGCACGAAATTTGGCACAGCGTAATGAATTAGGTCTAGAAAGATGTGTGTTACGTTTTCTGATTTCCAGATTTAGATATACCTCCGATATATATTTTCGTCCGATTTAATGTAAATAGTGCACCAAAGGCCTTATATATCTTTCGATTTGCACGAAATTTGGTATAGTGTACTGAAGTAAGTCTAGAATGATATGTGTTAAATTTCCTGAAAATCTGTCCAGATTTAGATATATTTTCCATATATATTTTCCTCCGATGTGTGTACCAAAACCAATATATAACTTTTGATTGGCAAGAAATTTGGCATAGCGTAATGAATTAGGTCTAGAATGTTGTGTATTATATTTTCTGAAAATCCGTTCAGATTAAGATATTGGTCTCGTCCGATTTTAGGTAAATGGTGTACCAAATTCCCTATATATCTTTCGATTTGCACGAAATTTGGCACAGCGTAATGAATAAGGTCTAGAATGATGTGTGTTAAGTTTCGTAAAAATCGATTCAGATTTAGATATAGCTCCTATATATATATTTTCGTCCGATTTGCTGTAAATATATCTTTCGATTTGAAAATTTTGCATGGGGTACTGAATTACGTCTAGAATGTTGTGTGTTAAGTTTCCTTAAGAACTTGCCAGATTTAGATATAGCTCCTATATGTATTTTCGTCCGATTTTATGTACAAAGTGCACAAAAGACCCAAAGTTAGGCCGTTTGCTACAAAATTTTGCACAACGTACTGAAATTAATATTGCCTAATGTTTACCAAGTTTTATAGGAATCGGTTCCGATTTAGATATAGCTTCCATATACAGTTTCGTCCAATTTTTTGTAAATGGTACACCAAAGACCCAACGTTATGCCGATTGACACAACATTTTGCACAACGTAGTGAAATTAATATAACCTAGCAAGGGGAAAGTTTTGTTGAAATCGGTTCAAATTTAGATAGAGCCCACATATATTTTTTCTCCCGATTTTAAGTAAATGATGCACCAAGAACTCAAAATGTGTCCGATATGCACAAAAAATACTGAACTAACAGAGCCACAAACTTTTTTTATACCATCAGTCATATGGCAAATGGTGGTATATAAACTTTGATACCCATGTTTCTTTGGACCACTCAGTTTCAGACAATTTGCAGTCTATTTACAAATGTCCGTCCGTCTGACTGACTGACCGACTCTCGAAGGTAGTAACCGATTTCATTCTAATTTTTCACAGTGTGATATTGATTCCAAACTTAGATCAAGTTCGAAGATGGAGGATAACAGCAAATTTGGCCGACATGTTTAAAATAATTTTTTTCTCTTTCGAATCGAACAGAATGATCGAAGTTTTCAATGAAAATTAAAGCCAGTAGCGCGTTTCGCCGATGGTTAAGCGGATCATCAGGCATATGTTGATAACTTATATTTATTACGAAGTTGATGCAAAATTGCGACAAAGAATAAGCATGCCTACTTCGAAGAAAATCTGACAATAATTTGCGGGTCAAATGGAATAAGAAATGTCGCTTTGATTGCTATAGAATTTTACACGATGCTTCGTTTATGATGCACAATGGGCTGAGTTGACAGACATTGGCCGAGTAAGACTCGGCTCGTTGCGGATCGTAAACACCTCTGTCTTTCACGTCGACATTTAGTTTTCTATGGTGATCGAATGATATTTTAGGGATCGAATGGACTAAAAACTTTATGTTTGTCTGTTTTTCTGGTCAATATAGGCAACACTACTAAAAGCCTAACATAAAAGAATTTGCACTGAGCTGAGGATCTGGTGAACTACTTTGAATGACTGGTTGATAATGATTTATCAATATTAGCGGCTCAATTGAACCAAGATTTTTGAGTGTAAAATTTCATATTATGGCGTAAATATTCGTTCCGGGATTGATGAGAGATATGGGAGAAATACTTAAATATATTTGAGGGTCTACAAATTTTAGTATTGGTTAGTGTTAAGCTTGGACTATAGATCACAGAATATTACTGGGGTCAACGAAAAAAAACTTTCGGAATCTGAAGTTTGTACAATATTTTTTGAAGGACTATCAGAAGCATGTAAAATTTGAAACAAGTTCGAAGCAGATAAAATTTAGCACAGCTCAATTTTTTGATCGAGAAATAAAAAAAATTAATACTTACTTTAGAACAATAACTTTGTTTTTGGTGGCCGCTGGCACATCGATATTATCCACACCGGCTCCAGCACGACCGACAACCTTTAAACTACCCGCCCCAGCTTCTAGTACTTGTTGGGTGATTTTCGTATCGGATCTAACAATGGCAGCATCATAATTCTGAAAAACAAAAACACGGAAACATTTTATATAAATTGGAAAGAAATAATATTTTTTTTTGTTAGACCGTAACATTTTACACCCTCCATCATGATGTGGGTATGTTGAGAAATATTTATGGGAACATACATTGAAATGTCTGAAATTGTGCAGGGCATGTACAAGATGACTATGAAAAACATGAATCGTTATTGAAAAAATATCTGTAATGATTTTCTTGGCCTCAAATAAACCAGAATGACAAATAACAGCAACTTTAGTTCAAAATTGATCGGGTCGAACATATTCTGGAGAAATCGGAATACCAAATTACGGACTCTTTTGATTGGAAAATAAGCCAATAACTCTAAAAATACCTTTTTTTCTTCGTTTGGAAGGTCCCCATTACAACAAAGGGGCGGGACCTCTATATGACAGCTATGCCAACATTTCGTTTCGAACTTCCATTAATATATGCACCTAAGATGGTGGAAAACCTTTATATGGCAGCTAGGTTAAAATGTGGACCTATATTGATTATATTCATTTTAAAATTCCGGAAGGCTATGATATGGTTAGAAAATGTGCCTAGGACTAGCAAAATACAGAAAATGGCACGATACCGACATGTGGGTGTTATACACAAATTTAGTCCTATATTGATCATTTTATACAAATATATGTCTCTCTCCGAACGAAAGTAATTTTCATTCCTTAAAAAATCACGAAAATATTTAAACAGGGCTTACCAAAACAGGGATCTTTATTGTCAATTTTTTGCAAATATATTTTTCCAACCTCCAAGAACTTTTAATGCAAAATTACAGCCCCCTTCATTTCGTAAATATGGCTATAAATTTAAAAACGCCAACAAAGATGTGGGTCCTTTAAATAAGTCTATACCAAAACATGACCCTCTGTTGAAATTTTTCTGCAAATACATGTTTCACCCTCCAAGAACCCTTAATGCCATTTTACAGCGCCTTCGATTTGAAAATATACTATTGTAGTATTCATAGGATGTATGTTCCAAGGGTCATATCATTTGAGGATTTTTGTCGATTTTTCTTACCGAAATGGCTGTGATATCATATTTCAGGTTCTCTATTAGGTAGTAAATCTTGCTACAAAAATTTAAAACATTAATCTTCTCTTTTGCGTTGCAACCATATAAAGATCCTGCAAAATGTTGGTGTTTTTGGAGATCTTGTGCACTTTTCTTCAAACAAATTAGCTCTAATCGGATATTTTGAGTTCTGATTGTATAGATAGAAAATCTCCATAACAAAAACGAGTGACCGGAGCAGTATAGTATGATACCCTACACAACTACCATCAAACTCTAAGCTGTATATTCCGAGCCTGCATAATATTTCGCTAGATTTGCACTCTCTTTTCCGATTAGATGTCACCAGCTCCCCGACTGCATTTTTTCGAATCATGTTTTCCCGGAATAAAAATTTAATCCAAAAATATTTAAATTTTGGTTCATATGACCCGCAAAATATTTATCGAATTAGTTGATCGGATGGAAATTTTGTTATGATTGGCTTGATAATTACGGCGTCTAGAGTAATTAGATACTCTGACAAAAATAAATTTTTCGGTCTATGTTATACCGGAAAAATCATCTGATTATCACCGAAAATTATAGGCGTCGTCCTTGACCATAACTGGAACCTCATGCTGCTTCCTATTCTAATCAATATCAGAATAGTTAGTGTAACAGGCAAAAATAATCGAGATAGACCCATGGTTCCTTCACTTTCTAAGTCGATTTATGCATGTCCGTCTGTCTGTCCACGTTAAATTGCAAAGAAGGTAAAGGTCGCATTTATGATCCGAATTGGATGAAATTTGGCACAGCTCATTTGTTTGGCCCAAGGACGAACCCTATTGAAATGGGGAAAAATCGGTTCAGATTTAGATATAGGTCCCATATATATTTTCGTTCCATTTAAGGAAAATGGTGTACCAAAGTGCCTGTATATCTATCGATTTGCACGAAATTTGGCACAGCGTAATGAATAAGATCTAGAATTATGTGTGCAAAATTTCGTGAAAATCGGTTCAGATTTAGATATATGTCCCATATATAGTTTCGCCCGATTTTTGGTAAATAGTCCACTAAAGTCCATGGAAATCTTTTGACTTGCACGAATTTTGGCGTAGCGTACTGAATTAAGTCTAGAATGATGTGTGCAACGTTTCGTGAAAATCGGTTCAGATTTAGATATAGTTCCCATATATATATATATATATATATTCGTCCGATTTAAGGTAATTGGTGCACCAAAGACCCTATGCATCTTTCGATTTGCACGAAATTTGACATATAGTACTGAATTGCGTCTATAATAATGTGTGCTAAGTTTCATGAAAATCGGTTAAGATTTAGATATAGCTCCCATATATACTTTCGCCCGATTTTGGGTAAATGGTGCACCAAAGTCCGTGGAAATATTTTCTTTTGCATGAATTTTGGCATATCGCACTGAATTAAGTCTAGAATCATATTTGCAAAGTTTCGTTAAAATCAGTTCAGATTTAGATATAGCTCACTTATATATTTTCATCAGATTTCAGGTAATAGGTGCACCAAAGTCTGTGAAAATCATTCGATTTGCACGAAGTTTGTCATAGCGTACTGAATTAAGTCTAGGATGACGTGTGTTAAGTTTCGTTAAAATCGGTTCAAATATAGATATATAAAAAAACGCGACGGACGTCTGTTAGGATACAAATGTAGAATGTACCCAAAGTGGTGAAGGGTATCCTATAGTCTGCCCAGTCCGACTTTACTACTTTCCTTACTGGTTTTTATTATATGGTCAAATTCCTTTCTCTGTGTAAAATTTCGTGATGTTCGTGTCATAATTGTGGCCTCTAGAGCGACAGCAGACAAAAACACAAAATAAATTTTTAGTCAATTTCATCCCCCAAATATTAACCGATCTTAGCCAAAAACAATAGGGGTCGTGTTTGACCAGAACCCGTCCTACATTCAAATTTTCGTGGCGATTGGCATATAAATGTGGACTATAGTGGACAGAAGGGCGGTCAAACACTCATATCGATTCAGCTAGTCGGGATATTACGATCGGGTCTAGGACCAATAATTTCGCGGTGTTACAAACACTTGGGGCCACACAAAGATATAAAACCATTTAACAACAAAGCTGTGTATGGTATAATTATGAACATTTGCCAATCTTTCGGTGTTGTCGCCATTTCACTATACCTTCCAAATTCAGGTATGTTTAGGGCGTGGGCAAGTTTTCCAATCAAATTGACTGTAATTTAATATTTTTAGTTTTCATTAGGAAGAAAATTTCCGTACCATCAATATAAAGTAAAAGTATCGGACTAGAGAACCCAATTATTCGGTATTTTAGGGAATGTTTTCCAATAGAAATGGCTCTACCTTGATATTTTGGAATATCATTGGGTGTCAAATTTGCCTTCCAAAAAGTATCAGTTTGTTGAGTATCTGATATTGCCCTCAAAAAAGTCCTGATCGATTTTAGGTATTTTGGATTCCCACCATATATTGGAGTGCCAAATTAAACTGCGATTTTAACAAATAAAATAAATTAAAAATTTGTGTACATCAAATTTGGTACACCCTAATATACACATATAAAAAAATAATCATCTTAAATTATAACAAATACTTACTTTGACTTCATTGCACAGTTCATCAACCGGCAATTTCAATTTGTAAGCAACCTGGACGAAAAAACAAATAATTAATTCAAAATAAAATTTCAATGAAAACCACAACAATATCAACAAGTAAAAATTTTAATAATCATCAAAATATAAATAAATTAAGACGAAAAAAAAACGAAATTTACATTAATGCCATTCTTTTGCAATAGCTCGACACAGGCACTGTCAACGGCATCGCACACCAACACATTTTTAATATCAACCGGCATTTTTTCTTTCTGTCTTATTTTTTTAAATTATTTCAATATATCTTTTGATTACTCTCTTTATTTTTTCGTTCTACTCAGAAGTTCGTGGGCTTTGAGGATCTATTTTTTTATTTTTCTTTTTTTTAATTTAGGACTTGTTGTTCTTGATCTGCACTTGTACAACCAGTCTGGACGGTATGCGAAACTCAACTGATTACAGAATATTGAAAAGAATACTAAACCGGCCGACTTTGTAAGAGACCTGCATTCCATAGCTGACGTTGGGTAGTGTCACAGACTGGGCCGGAGGCAGAGGACAGACGTGCAAACAACAAACAAACAACTCACATTGAAAAATAATAAAAAAAAAACAAAATGAAAACAACAACGATCTCCAGACTGACCACACTGAATGGCTGTTTGTGTCTGGCGGCACAGTGTTTAAGATCGGACACCAGACACGTTGAAAGAGTAGAATAAAAACTGGATAGAATCTTCACGAAATTATTATAAAAAACTTTTAGGAAAATGTTTTTCTTTTATTAAATCCACACTACCGGGTTGTTATGTACCCCACAATAATTTAAAAAATAATCTAAAAACCCCTTATTATTGCTTCTAAAGCCCTTCAAAAAAAATAAGACCTTTAAAAAATAATTTTTAAAAAATCTAAACCTGAACTGATTTCACGAAACTTAACACACATCATTCCGCACTTAATTCAGTACGCTATACTAAATTTTGTGCAAAAGGAATGGACATTTTCAAAAGATCGGTCGAAACTATATATGGGAGCTATATCTAAATTTGAACCGATTTTCTCGAAACTTGACACACGTCATTCTAGACTTAATTCAGTACACTATGCTAAATTTTCCGCAAATCGAAAGATATATATGGACTTTGGTGCACCATTTCTATCAAATCGGACAAAACTATATATAGAAGATATATCTAAATCTGAACCGATTTTCTCGAAATTTAACTCACGTCATTCTGGACCTAATTCAGTATCGAATGCCAAATTTCGTGGAAATCTAAAGATATATAGGGACTTTGGTGCACCATTTACCCTTAAATCGGACGAAAATATATATGGGAGCTATATACAAAGCTAAACCGATTTTCACGAAACTTTGCACACATCATTTTAGGCTTAATTTAGTACGCTGTGCCAAATTTCGTGCCAATAGAAAGATATTTAGGGAATTTGGAGCACCATTTACCTAAAATCGGACCAAAATATATATGGGAGGTATATCAGAATCTAAACCGATTTTCACGAAACTTAACACACATCATTCTAGACCTAATTCATTACGCTGTGCCAAATTTCGTGCAAATCGAAAGATATATTGGGACTTTGGTGCACCATTTACATTTAATAGGACAGGAATATACATGGGAGCTATATCTGAACCGATTTTCACGAAAATTTGCACACATCACTCTGGACCAGTTCAGTACTCTATGTCAAATTTCGTCCAAATCGAAAGATAAATAGGGACTTTGGTGAATATACCGGACGAAAATATATTTGGGAGCTATATCTAAATCTGAACTGATTTTTCCCAATTTCTATAGGGTTTGTCCTTGGGCGAAACAAATGAACTGTGACAAATTTCATCCAATTCGGATCATAAATGCGACCAGTACTTTGTTTACAACTTAACATGGACATGCATAAATCGACTGAAAAAGTGATGCTATGCATATTCTCAAAAGGAACCCTGTGTCTATGTCGTTCCCTTTTGGCTATTTGTATACCCTGGTGAAGGGTGAAACGACGCTTGGGGATATAATAGTGCATTGAAAATAATATTCAAAAAATTTAACAATGTTAGTCCCGCGAAAAAATCCCCGCTTACGGATCTGATGGTTCGTCAAAAATAAATTTTAAAATATCCACCCTTAGGACTCTGATAGTCCCTCGAAAATAATGTTTAATGTTTCGAAAATAATGTTTAAAATATCCAAGCTTAGGGCTCTGATAGTCCCTCAAAAATAATTTTTAAAGAGTTCTAAGCCCTAAGCTTAGAACTCTGATTGTTCCTTGAAAATAATTTTTAAAAAATCCACGCTTAGGGCTCTGATAGTTACTCTAAAAATAAATTCGAAAATACCCACGCTAAATGTTCTGATAGTTCCTCGAACCCTCTTGTAATTTCTCAATGGACCTTCGAAAAATTTTTAATAAATCCACGCTTTAGTCACTCAAAAATATTTTTTTTTAATCCTCCCTTCGGGCCCCCTCAAAAAAATCCTCGCTCTGGATATTTACTCTTAGGACTCCAAAATAGTTCTTAAATAATCAACGTTTAGGACTCTGATAGTTTCTCGAACATAATTTTCAAAAAATCCAATCTTAGAGCTCTGATAGTCCCTTCAAAATAATTTTTAAAAAAAATCCACTCTTAGAGTTCTGAAAGTCCTCAAACATATTAAAAAAATCCACTACTAGGTCTCTGATTGCCCCTGAAAAAAAATCAACCTTATGAAGCTGATAGGTCCTCAAAAATAATTTTTAAAAAATCCTCGCTTCGAACTCTGATAATCCCTCAAAAATACATTTTTCATAATTCATTCTTCGATAGTCCCTCAAAAATAAAAGTTTAAAAAATCCACACTTCGATGGTCCCTCAAAAATAAATTTTTCAATATCCACGCTTCGATAGTCCCTCAAAAATAATTTTTAAAAATCCACGCTTAGGGTTCTGATAGATCCTCGGAAGTAATTTTAAAAATACCCTTGTTTAGGGCTCTGATAGTACTTTAAACATAATTCTTCAAAAATCCACGCTAAAAACTCTTAAAGCCCTTCAAAAAATCATCATCAAAATTAAAAAATATGGCTCCAGATGACCTCAATTTTTTTTTATAAAATCCATTCTTATGAAGCTCATAGGCTCTAAAAAATATTTTCTATAAAACGCACACAATAAAAATCTTTCTAAAAAATATTTTTTTTTTTTTTTAAATGCATACTCAAGACTCTTTTTGCTCCCAAAAAATACAGGCTTTGTTCTTCAAAAATATTTTTTAAAAAATCTGAGTTATGTTTGTCCTTGAAAAATAATTTTAAAAATCGCCACCTGGGGTTCTGTTCGTCCTGGAAAAATATTAAAAAAAAAAAAATAGGCTTTGGGCTTAGTTTGTCCCGATGTTTTTAAATCCACGCTTATTGATATGTTGTGCCTTGAATAATATATATTTTTAAAAATTCACATTTGGGACGCTGTTAATCCTTCCAAAAATATATATTTTTAAAATCCCCGCCATCTATTTCCAACCACTGTGCCATGTAAGTAAATAAAATATCAGCATTATTATTTGTTTTCTTCCAAAGGCACAAAAATACTTGTTGCCGTGGACAACAACGTGTAAACGACCATCCATAAATGAGAAATGTCATAAATTAATGTGTTGTTGTTGTGGTGGTGGTCTGACCGATAAGAATTTCTCAAAATGCTGTTCTGTCTCACCTACTATCCAAAATTTTACTCAGACAATTGCACTAGATTATATGAGAGCTATTATTTTGTTGTTGTCTACACTATATTACACCTTTGATAAAACGACTAAGCAGGCTTCTTATCGCTAACATCGTGATAGTCTCAGGAGAACAACCAATTTGTATTATATCAGATGATCAACTCAATATAGAGATAATGTGAAAATTTCATTGAAAATTTTGACGGCCCTTATTATTAATCTAATCAACATAATTTGTACGAAAGTTAAACGGTTATAGGCTGTTAACAAATTTTCGATCATAAATTATTAAATTGCCCAACCACGCTTCCAACAGGTGATATGAAATTGTCTTGGTTTCTGAAATCACTTTTATCAGTTTTATTAGATTATTGAAAATGACTTCCAGAATGTAGGTTATTGCCTGTCAAAAAAGGGGATATACAATTTTGTTTTGTATACCCTCATGCATAGAATGGACCGTGTTTAAAAATTTTAAGAAAAGTAGTAAAAAAATATCAGATGAGCTCGAGATTTTTATGTTACCTAAATTTTTAAATATATATATTTTTTTTTTAATTAATTTAATTATTTTTTTTAAGTTAAATTTTCCGAAATTTAAACAATATTTTGATTTAAAATAAATATATTTCCATGTTTCTTGTCAATTTTGTCCAAGCAGGGCCATCTATATGTGAAATATTTATTTGGAAGCACATTTAAAAAATGTAAAGCCGCCTAATGGTTGATGCAGTGTAAAATCGGCCTCAGTTCATTGCTATCATACAGAGCCATCTATAGATTAAACAAATGGATGTGGGATATTTACATTTCATATCAAAGAAATGAACTGGTAGACGTTTTATAGATTCAATAACCAGATGACGATGTTTTCGCATTGGTTCTGTTCCAGTTCTCTTTTCATAGTAGAACTAGTAAAAGGGAAAACTGTCAAAATCGCTGTCAGAGCTCAAAAGCATACCAAATGTTCTGGAAGGGAAAACTAGTAAAAATGACAAAATTAAAGGGCAATACTTCATAATCAACACAACAGCCAATCAGAAGTAGGCATTCCTGTTTATCATTTTTACTCGGCCAAATTTCTCGAGTAAAAAGTTTACAAAGAGAAAGCCCTTTTGGTTTTGTGCTCTCTTAAATTTGATTCCAGTTTTGTGGGTTCAGGAACGATTTCCGAGTAAAAACATGTAAAATTAGTAGATTCTTTTGAGTTCTGGAACGGAACTACTGATATGTTTTCCGAATATTCCCAATATTCAGTACAGCCCTTCTAACCGTGGGTTGTGTTGTAATGTTCGGCTTGTGGCCTATAGATCGAAAAAAGACCACAAATTATGTTTTCGGTCCACGTAACTTTTTTTGTGATCATCACCTAAAATTATAGGTGTTGTCCTTGACCATAACTGGAGCCTCTGAGAAAATTTTAAAGCGATCAGCGCTATATTTCTGCCCTCTAATATATGAATACGTAAGCACCTATAAATATTTAAGTTTAAATCCGGCTCTATGTCCGTCAGGAGTAAATATATACGCCATAGAATACAATTTTTTTTTTTTAAATTTTCACACAA